CCCCCCCCCCCCCCCCCCCCAAAAAAAAAACAATACACTACAGAAATCTGTATTTAAAAAATCCTTTAAATTAATACAACTTGTATTCATAACTGGTCACAGAGTTTATTATTTTTAATCCTGTAGCATCAAGACCATAGGCGTTGCAACCATTATATGTGAAGGGGACAAATCCCCCCAACATTAAAAAAAACTTTCATTTGGACCCCCCCACTTTTACGATGAAACATTAGTTCAGTCGGCGCAGGTTCTTTCTTCGTGAACAAATCCATTCCACTTGATTAATAGAATACTCAAACCACTAAAACTCCAGTCCAGGTTTTCCTGGTTACCTCCAACTCTACACACAGCAGCCTGTTGCCACGGTCACAATATACAGTGGCCACAGAATATGGTGCAACACCTGCAGTGTTTCTATGCGTCTCCTCCTGCCTCGGCAGAAAACGCGCACAGGTGGAGGAGATGGGGACACCTCTGTGTTACTTGCATGCCAGTTTAGCGAGCTTTGTGCGGGCAGTTGTTGACCGGGGGGGTTGATCATAAACATTTATACATGTTAGGAGGAGTGAAGTGGAGCGCTACGTCTGTAGCATCTTAGCTTAGCTTTAACTGTGACGCTGTCAGACGCTGCAGGTGTAAGAGACGCTGTGTGTTCAGGTGCATTAAAGTTGAAATGTCTTTTAAACCCCACACCTTATTGTCCTCAAGTTTCATGAGAAACATCATTTAGATGAGTAAGTCCAGTGGTGATGTTTTTTTATTTCACAATAAACACAAAGAGTGCCGACCTGACGCTCTGTATTAAAATTAAAATGTCTTTAAAACCCACAGCTGAATTTACACAAACTTGGTGAGAAACATGTTTCAAATGTGTGGAATTAAAGGAAATCTAGTTGAAATGTTGCTTTTTTGTTCACTAGTGAACGCCTTTTTTTTTTTTACGCGCACACTTGCACGCACACTCATCTACACTCATCATTGTGTCCCCCCCACATTATGGATTCTTATGACGCCCTTGATCAAGACACCCTTGTGCTGTACAGACTGGCCATCCAGTCTCAGATAATTTGGTTAATCCCACGAGTGAGGAAAGCGTTTCGTACTTGTTGATGAGCGTGTCGGCCACGATTCCCAGCTGCTGCACCTGAGCGCACTCCTCCTCCGTCAGGTACTCCATGGACTGCTGGGAGTTCAGGCGGGGCCTGGCAGCACGGTACGTGTCGATCTTTCTTTTGTCCTCCCACGACTTCAGCGTGCTCTCGAACGCCTGGTGGGACAGAGACAGAGCGGTTGAATTTATCACCTCCATATGTGAAAACTACCGTACGGTGAGGCTAATTCATCCAAAGTGATTGTTTCAGTGACCAGAGGAAAAGTAAAGAGTCAGCAGAGAAACATCTCGTCTCGAGTCTCCAAACAGAATAATAATCATCCTAAAACAGAAAGCTTTTTAAAAATACTATTTATTCTATTTCCTGTTTCTTAGTGTTTATTTGTATTCATTATTTAATATTTAACAATGATATATTATTTTGTTATTTCTTTGAAAAAAACCTGGACGTACAGTGGCTCAGTTGTTGAGCGGTTGCCTCTCAGCAAGAAGGTTGCCAGATCAAATCCTGGCCAGGGGCCTTTCTGGGTGGAGTTTGCATGTTCTCTCCGTGCATGTGCGGGTTTCCTCCCACAGATCAAAAACATGCATGTTAGGCTGATTGGTGACTCTAAATTGTCTCTAGGCGTGAGTGAGAGAGTGAATGGTTGTTTGTGACAAAGTTGTTTTCATTTCATTTAAATAATAATAAAATATATATTTTTACTTGTTATTTAACTATTATCAATATTTGTCATTACTAATGAAATCATTGTTTTGTTCCTTAAAATATTACATTTTATATATTTGCTTGACTCATTTTTTTATTTTACTTTTATTAATCTATTTTCTGATTCTTTTCTGCGATCAAGCTGTAGACCAACCAAAACATATTTTTAAATACTTCTGTTATTCTAATTGTTGACGCAGAGAATTGACATAATTAAATTAAATATTTATTATTTGAATAAGGGCGTGGTGACGCCGAGGTTAGAGAAGGTGGACTTGTGATCCGAAGGTCGCCGGTTCAACTTCCTGAACTGACAACATCAAAATGTGGGTGGGAAACGTGAAGCACCTACACCTGCCTCCACTCTCATTTGCCCCACTTTGGGCCCTTGAGCAAGGCCCTTAACCCCCAACATCCGTTCCCTCGGGTGCCCTAGATAGCAGCGCTCTGCTCCACACAGAGGGCTGTGGTAGCTCAGTGGTCTGTGGTTGTGTCAGGAAGGACATCCAGCGTAAAAATAATTGCCAAGTCTTTGTGCAACTTAGTTCATTGTAGTGCAGAGTTGCATTTGGGCTTTAAAAAAAATCGTACCTGGACCGAACCTGCATCATTTTTTGTGATTACAGAACCAAACTAAAAAAATTAATAAATAAAAACCAGACATTTTATTTTTTATTAAGCTTTTACTGCTTTTGTAAGCAAATCAGTTTGACATGATTTAAAAACGTACAGTGGTCCCTCGTTTATCATGGGTGTTAGGGACCACGCCCACCCGCGATAAGTGAAAAACCGCACAGTAGGGATACAGTAGTCCAAGTTCAAGTTCAGTAAATTTTGTCCTGACATGTGCCAGGCTGTAATCACACTCACTCATCACCCGTTACTCCCAATCTCCCTCCTTAAATAAACAATTTAAATTTAAATACTGTAACATTTTAAATAAACAATCCATTGTTTATTTAAATTGTTATAGTATTTAAATTTAAATTGTAGAGAAGAGAAGTGCAGCAGGACATGAAAGGGAGGTCACACGGCTTCAGCTCTGCAGCACGGAGCAGAAATGTACTTCTTGACGAATTACACTTCAACAACTGAACATAGAAGTTCTAAAATAATTTATAAATAATTTTTAACACTTATTTGTGATTATGATGATTAACGTGACATACTTTGAATTTTAAGTTGGAAGACAAAAGTCGATCGGTGCATCTGGAGAGCAACGGGTTAACCCTTCACAAAGCTGCAGCAGGAGAAATGTTGCAGAGGAGATCAGCTGATCAGCTGCAGGAGGGAGCTTCCCTTGCACTTGTGAGCTTCACATGGTGCAAAAATCATTTAAAATGATTTATTTTAAGTAAACAACCCATGGCTCATCCAATCAGTCAATTGTGTCATGTCCAATCTTATTTTGAAAATCCACGATATAGCGAACCCGCGATAAATGAACCGCGAAGTAGCGAGGGACTACTGTATTTCAAAGATAGGAAGATATACGATTTCTTGTTTTTTAAAAAGAGTCAGCCGATTATTATAGTTATTAATGGTCGTCGACTGCGCGCATCCGCTGACGCAGTAGCTGGGTCCAGTTGAGCTTCAGGTGGGTCACTGGCAGTCATCCATCTGGACTTTTTGTACTTCTTTCAACCGGCCGGTCAGCGCGTGGTCAAACGGCCGCGAGTGGCTGGTGGTGATCCAAACTGGATCGTCAGCCGTGCACGTCTGCCGTCGCAATCAAAAACCCATCTAGCACATTATTCTGGCCCGGCCCGAAATTCAGGCTGGGCTGGGTGCGGGATTAGAAATGACAGCTTTACTGTGGTGACCCCTGTGGAAGGGAGCAGCCAAAAAGTACAAAAAATAAAAATTGTAATATTTGAATATTACTGTTATATAACAAGTGCATACTGTTTTATTATCAACTTTATTATATTTATATATAATCTTTTTTCTATTTCTATTATTCGTTTAATTACTATTGACATGATTAAAAGTTCTCGTTAATATTTAAAACAATAAAAAAAATTTAAACAAATTTATTTATAGTTTTTGTGTACGCTATTAAAACTGACATTCCATTTTCTACTTGTTTTAAAGCTTTTTTCGTTGAATCATTCGTGATCAATTTTTCAACATTTAATTTTTTACATTCTTACTTTTGCTTTATAAATCTAAAATGGCTGAATATGCTAAATGTCCCGTATGAACATAAAGCCTGCAGACATCCAGCAGGAACAGAGTGTTTGGCGCAGACGCACAGGCCAATATTTTACTGACAACGGGTCACGTTTAAGAGGATGAACCTGGTGGACCAACAGTCTTCTGTCTTGCATCAGAGCAGGGAAACCATGGAAACAAAGTGACCAAACGTGCTCGACTCAGAGCTCTCAGAGGTTTGAGCAGTGTGAAGACAGAGCAAACACGACAAGGATGGATTTGCTTCAAGAAGTCCCCATGCAGGAAGACGAGAGCAGCTTCAGCTGCAACGTTTATGAAATAAAAATAAATATTTGGAGCAGGACTCCGTTTCTCTCAGTGTTTCATCTGCAAACAGATGTTCACACACCAACAAGCAGTCTGAATAAAAAATGATTTTGTACGACGTCACACAGTAAGTAGCTCATATCTGATCTGGACCTTACCCGGTCTCTGGTGAGCATCTGAGCCCGGTTCTTGTGGACGATCTTGACGATTCCAGGAGGTTGGATCCAGGCTTCTCCGTCCACCTGCACAGGAACCCCCTCGTCCCCCAGGATGGTGATCTTCACCTGCCGGCACTGAGAGCATGCAACAAGAAGGAGACAGGATCTGTCAAACTACAATCAAGTGACCAGGGTCAGGATTGGACTAACCAAATTCAAACCAACTTCATATTCCTCCTTTAGAAGTCACCAAGGTTAAAAAATCTCAACTGAAGGTCTCTGTTAGATCTGTGCTGACCTCTGAGCATCATCAAACTGTTCTTTCCTCATTTAGTCCCTGTTTTAATGCCTGCATGTCCATGAAGATATACGTGCCTCCAACAGGAAACACTCAAGTCCCACAATTTTATTAGCAACGGGGCTTACATTGGACCTATCTCTCAGTAGTAAATATTTTCTGTTTGTAGCATTAAAGAGCAGCAGAGTCAGTCGTACGCAGGAACACGTACCTTCGAATCTCCTCATTTACAACTGAACTAAGTGATTAATGTACCTGAAATAAAATAAAAAGGAAAACGGCTTTGAACTAATTATCCCAACTGAATTTGTGATGATGCCTGATAACGACTTTTTTTATTAGACACCTCTTCACCAGCTGAGTACAACAAACGGTTCATTGCTCATTCATTACCGCTCAGCCTGCTCTGATTCAACTAATCAACTGTGCAAAAAGGCATCAATGTGTGTGTGTGTGTGTGTGTGTGTGTGTATACTGTATATATATTTATTACCTTGTAAGGTCCATTTTTCCAACACATACTACATTGTGAGGACCAGCTGCTCCTTATGGAGCCTAAAGTCCAGGCCCCATAAGAAGAGGTACCATTAGTGGGTTAGGATTAAGTATGTACTGGTAATGGTTATGGTTAGGTATGTACTGGTAATGGTTAGGGTTAGGTATGTACTGGTAATGGTTAGGGTCAGAGTTAGGCTATAGAAATGAATGAAAAAATAAATGGATGTAAATGCAAAGTCCCTGTAAAGATAGAAAGACAAATTGTGTGTGTGTGTTACCTGTGCGATGCGGTGGTGCTGCAGGTTGATGACTCTAGACATGGCCATCTGCATACTGCCAAACACTGCCACCACCTCCAGCTTCTTATCGTCAAACGACGGAGCGCCAAAGTTCTGAGGCAACAAGAAAACAAAAAAGTCAACTCAGGGCTGGACAATAATTCAATATCTATATATGTCACAATATACTTTTATTCAATAATGGTTATATGACTTTTAAGCACATTTTCAATATTTCAATAGGATTACAGCGTTTCTCTGACACATTTCTTTTTCTTTTCTTGTTCGGGTTGAAGCGGCCACTTCAGTTTCAACCCAGACAGAAAAAGCCGCGACACAACTACGTAAGCGCGTGGTGACGTAGATGTTACGCAGAGCTCGAGTCTAGAAGGCGTTAGCGGTAGCAGGCTACGCTAATCTCCAACCTGGTGCGTTAAGTTTTTGCTTTAAAATGAGTGCCCACGACCGTCAGAATGTGACTGAACAAACTTTCACAAGCGAAGAGAAAGCAGATGACATAATTGATAAGAGAGGAAAGACTAATTCGGAGGTGTGGAAGTGGTTTAGCTTTCTAAGATTTGATAAACTGCAGGTTTCAGTGTTCTGCAAAATGTGACTGAGAGTCATTCCAACACGTCTAACTTGCACTTGTGAAGAGTTTCCACTCGATAGAATATGCTGAGAGTCAGAAGATGAAGCACAATAAAAGTTTGAGCCAACGTGTCCCTGAAACATCACCCCCAGCTGTAACAAAAGAGAAACATGCAGCAAACGTTTGCTGCATGGGTTGCTGGGTTATGTTGTTGTTTAAAGTTAAAACTATTAATATTGACAAAGTTGAGAGTTTTATGATTATTTGACAATGATTTCAATTTTTTTTAAGGCTAAATTCAAATAAAAGGTGAACATGAATTTATTAGTACAGTTTGTACAGTTTTTCTGAGGCTTTTATATTGTTTATATCGATACCGAATTATATCGTTATCGACCGAAATTAAGAAATATATTGTGATAAAAGTTTTGGCCATATCGTCCAGCCCTAAGTCAACTTGATGAGCTGAAAATGTAAACAAAAGTTATGTTTTATATAAACAAGCTTTAAATTTGAGTGTGTTTTATTTAAGCTCTGGCTGAACATCTCTTACATTGTCCTCCTTGGTGCCGCCCCAGAAGTTGATCCCGCCAGCATAGCTTGGGATGTTGAGAACAGCCAGCCCCTGCAGGCTCGGCAGGGAAATGGAAACCCCGTCACACTGCGGAGGTATGAGGAAGTGATGTCAGAGATCAGCCAACACATGTTTTTATTTAAGAAGAATCCTTCAAAAACTGAGGGTCTGACCTCCAGCTGAACTCTTTGCTCCAGGTTCTTGTACGTCTTCTGGACCAGTTCTTTAGTCCCCAGAACCCCGTACCACATCATGTTCTTAGTGCGACTGCTGCAGATGGAAACAACCAATGAGATCAGATTTCCTCACTCTGCTGCTATCTTTGCTCTTCTCTCCATGTTTGTTTCGTCATTATTTCTATGGTGAACATGTTTTTGTTCCAGTACAAGCTACACATGGAGCAGCCATTCTGTGTTTGTCTGTGTCTCCTTCCTGTCCTCTCTGACCCCAGCCAGTCAAGAAAGACTGCTGCCTATCCTGAGCCAGGTTCTGCTGGAGGTTTTTCCTGTTGAAAGGGAGTTGCTTCTTTCCACTGTCACCAATAAGCTGCTCAGGATGAGAGATTGTGAGAAAGTGAAGACTCCACTCAATCTGCTGGCTTCTTATTTATATAATTCAATTAAATTCAGTTTCTTTATATAGCATCGGGCCACAAGAGGTCTGAGGGCACTGCACAAAAACATTCACATACATGAAAAAGCCAATGAGTACAGTTATCTATCTAAGGAAGCCAGCAGATTGTTTTGAATCTTCATTTGGTTGCAGTCTCCCATTCTGAGCAAGCATAAAGGCAACAGTGGAAAGGAAAAACTCCATCAGAACCAGGCTCAGGATGAGCGGCCATCTGCTTCAACTGGCTGGATTTGAGAGAACAGGAAAGAGAAATGGACACAGAATGACAGGTCCAGAATGACAGGTCCAGAATGGAGGCAAGCAGGTCCCTCACTAGGAGGAAAGACAAAAAAACATGTGTTAAGATAGAAATAATTACAAATACAAACTATTTATTTGTATTAATTTGTAATTACGGTATTCATTTGATGAAATGAAGTCAATTTGTCCTCCAGCAGCCTAAGCCTATAGCAGCATATCGAAGGTACAGCTCAGGAAACCCAAGATGACACTAATTATAGGATTTATCAAAAAGGATAGAATTAAGTCCAGTCTTAAAACTGGACAATGTGTCAGCCTCACGGACAGAAACTGGAAGTTGGTTCCACAAGAGAGGAGCCTAATAAATGAAAGCTCTTCTGCTTTTTGGAAACTCTAGGAACCACAAGTAAGCCTGCAGTCTGAGAGCGAAGTGCTCTGTTAGGAAAATATGGAACAATAAGATCTGTAATATAAGATGGAGCTAAGTTGCTGAGGGCTTTGTAGGTTAGAAGTAAGATTTTGAATTTTATTCTGAATTTGACAGGGAGCCAATGGAGATAAGCTAAAACTGGAGAGATATGATCTCTCCCACTAACTCCAGTTAAAACCCTGAAAACAGCATTTTGGATAGACCTACTCATTTTCTCTTTATAATGTATGCGAATGATTTTGTACAGTGCTCTAAGATGATGCTTGTTATATTAACAAAGTGAATTGAATTGACTTGAATCTGGCTTTAGATTCAACAGGTTACATTTTTATTGATAAGACAATGAGCAACAAAGATGCATTTAGTTAATATAGATGGTGCAAACGTTAAGTCCATGATTTTATTTCCATTTAAGGCTAAATCTTAATGTTTCTAAGCTTGAAAGAACATATGTGAAAACCCAGTCTCATCCAAGAGTTGTAATGATGTTACTCTGAGAAAATAGGGAAAAAAACCCCCAAAGAAAATAGTTTTTTTGTTTGTTTTGTTTTGAAATTAAGGTCAAAAAGTTGAAAATAAAGGCAAACTGACCAAAAATGTCAAGAAGAAAAGAGATCTTAAAAACCAAACCAGTGTTGATGCTCATGAACTCAACACTTTATAATTAAGAACAGTTCAAGAAATGAAACATCCTTTGTCTTTTAACACAAACATCTTTCGATGACAAGTAGAGTGAGACTGTTTGGTAAATATGCAGGTGAAGCTGTGAATAACGTGGTAAGTCTCAAAGTTTAAGCTGTAGTACAAGTTTCTGCAGAAATATTGAAGGGCGACAACAGAGCTATTGTCTGAAACTCCAACAAACACCAACTTTTGTCTCTAAAGCCTAAAAATAATTTTGAGACAACCCAACAAAATTCAGTCAGGTCATCTAGACATTTATTTTTTTTTTAGACGTTTTGTTCTTCATCCAAAGGACTTCATCAGTCCTTTGACGTTTTGAACCACTTTTTCTATGGCTGCCTCACAGGAGTTGATGGGGGAGAGGGCGGGTCCCAGAAACCATCTTATCACCAGCAAACTGGTTGGTCCACTGTGACTGTGCTGCTTGTGGGACTGAGGTTGTTTTCACACCAGATAGTCCGGTAGACGGTTCAGTTGGGGACCAATATTCATGACACTTTGTTTACATTTGAGCTGGTGCGTTTGCATTCACACTGCACTGTGCAGTCGAGTCAACCTGGTGAACCAACCTGTTCACCCGCTCGCCTGTGGGGGGCGCTGCACCAAAAACTAATGAAAGAAATTACACAAAAACCTCTGAAGACACTTCTTCTTCTGGAAATCAAAACAAAAACGGAGTGGCATCAAATTTTAGCAGTTTTAGGAGTTATATTTTGTCATTTTTCAAAAATGGACTTAGCATGAGCAGAAGATGAGGCAGAAGACCATGGAGAATATTGTTTTTCACACAAGGTAGCTGACGGCTCCATATAAGGTCAGAGAAATGTGTGTTTCTTTACCCTGCATTGTACTCCACTTCTTGCTTGTGGAGCGGTGTCCGGTCCGTTTGCATTCACACTGTACTCGAACCGCGCTGGAGTTCTCTTCTACCGGAATGAGACCTAGGTTTTAGCCCGGGCCAGAGTTCGCCTTTTTGTTCCATGACAGAGTTCGACAGTGCGTTCACACCTCCCCAAACGAACTGGACTTTCTAGGAAAACGAGCTAGAGTTGGATTAAAGCGGACTAAACAGGGCTGGTGTGAATGCACCCCGAGTTTGTTGTGGCTCCTCAGACTGATGAAGTCCTTTGGATGAAGGACGAAACATCTCAATAATAAAATAAATCGTCCAGAGGACCTGACTGAACTTTGCTGGATTTTTTTACCTGGATTATTGGAGTATGAACTTTGACATTTGGGACCTAGTTTTGAAACAATCAAAAGCAGATGTTTTGATGTAAAAACTACATGAGAAATGTAAAAATTGTGGGGGTAAGAAGAGTTTGAAATTCTTTGGAATGATTACAGTTTCTAAGTTACTTTGTGTAACGAGTCAAAAAAGAAGATGTCGGCGACACGTTGGGTTGCATTTTAGCTGGGCTCCCACCAAGGGTTGGCGTTGTCATGTGACTGACTCAGCAGAGCTGAAATATGGCATCGAAATTGAAGAAATTTAAGACTATGGGTTCGGTGGCCACTGGACCCGACACAGTTTGAGGTAAAATCTTCAGAAATCATAAAACTTTACCAGCAACTGCATAAAAACACAGAGGAACTCTATGTTAACATATTTTCTGTCATACCTGCACTTCTTGGGGTGCTCATCTCTCTTGTTATTGAACTCGAGGGAGATTTTTGCGTCCAGGCCGATGCCGAAGTAGTTATTCATCACACACTTCTCTGTACATTGTCTACAGACGCACATGGACAGTTTATTAGTGTGGTGATTCACATGCGCACAGCAGAGTCATGAAGGAACACACTTACACTGAGTCCTCGCTGAAAGAGACAGTGTTAAGACTCTCTGGTTTCTCTAAGACGATGGGGGACGTGGGACTCAGACCTCCTGGACCTGAAGAGTCAGCAAATTCATGAAAACACCTCCGTTTTTATTATTTGCAGAATTAAATTTCAGATGATACTTACGTGGCTCTGCATCCTTCAGCTCATCACTGTTCTCCCTTTTAATGGAGGACGATGATGGCATCCTCTGGACCAGCGTGTGTCGGTTCTGCTCGTCCACCACTGGAACAACACCTAAGTCAGTGAAGTGAACGCTCGTACTCGTACGCAGAAGAAAGCTGAAGACTCCTGCTGGATGTGCTGTTACCTTTCTCTGCCTGTTCAATGATCTGCCTCAGAGCTTTCTTCAGGCTGTTGGCCCTGAGCATCAGCTGCTCCTTGGATCGATACGGTTTGCCTTCTGACCCTGACTCGCCACCACTTTCACCGGGACTCGAGCCCTCCTGGCTTGGAGATGAACCTGCTGGTACCACCTGGACAAAAACACAGAACAGAGGGTCTTTTCAGCTGAGACATCTACAGAGTCGTCTCCTTGACGTTCTAGTGGTTTGGTGCCTTCCAGCAGAAAACCTGAATAACTCTGAGCAGTTTTCTAGGCCCTACTGATGAAAAGCATCCTTCAGCATGGAGCTGCCACCACCGTGCTTGACTGAGGACAGAGTGTCCTCAGTATGACAAGAGGTTTGCACAAGATGTTGGACAGAGGGTTAAGTTGTAGTCTGACAAGAGAACAAAATGGGAAAAGGGGGATTTTCAATATGAATTTGAACAGATTTCAAACTGTCTGCCTTAGTTTGTCTCTTTAAACAATGTTGATTTAGTCCTGGTCTTTCTTCCTTGAAGCCCAGTTCTGTGCAGCTCCTAATGCTCCAATGGACAAATACCCCCAGCTCTGCAGAGCTCCAGCAGGGTTAGATTTAGCTTCCTGGTTACTTCTCTGATAACCCTCGTCCCACTTTGCTCAGTCCATGTGTCATAATCTTTCTTTATATGACCCACCACAGTGACAGGCAGAGGATTGTTCGTTGTGCTGTTGATTCTGGGGGCTGTCAGAACATGTTTATATATACTGAGATTATCTGACACCTAGACTTTTTAAAGAACTATGTGGCTTTAAGATAACGATTGGGGCTTCAACATAAACGGGGGCAGGGGGTATATGCATGCAACTCTCCAGAATTATTTAAAACAATATTTATTTCCCCAAACTGACTTTATTAAGTTAAGGAATGTCATTATTTACAATCAAATGTAGAATCCAGGCAGAACGGTGGATCAGTTGATAGAGCTGCTGCCTCTCAGCGAGAAGGTCGCCGAATTGAATGCTGGTTGGGGGCCTTTCTGGGTGGAGTTTGCATGTTCTCTCCGTGCATGTGTGGGTTTTCTCTGAGCCTGTGGTTTCCTCCCATAGACTAAAAACTAGGGATGGGGCCGATCCGATCCAGTATCGGTATCGGCCTCCGATACCAGCATAATTTACGTATCGGATTTTTCCGATCCACCTGCCGATATTTCTGATCCATGATGTATGTTGGCTTTAAACTATGGAATGGATTTTCTGAATGGCGGCGTGTCTCGTGAGCCCAGAATAATAAGACCCGCCTCATATTCAGGAAATCCAGTTCATAGTTTGCAGCCAGCTACAACGTGAGGACTGAGTTAGCAGCACTGTGGCTAACAGCTAACCAACTTTTCATCTAAACATGTCCGCTGTGTGGAAGTATTTTACACTAGAAACACACAAAACAAGACAGCAACGTGCAATGTCTGCAGATCCATAGCACCACATTAAACCGCGGTAAAGTTAGTTTTACGATGGACATTCGAGCTCCGTGGCTTCAGCGGGGTGCTACTCTTTGGTCAAACCAAAAGAGGCGACTCGACCCCGGCCAGCCGCGTCCAATCTGCCCTGCTCAGTCTGCCCGTCTCTGAGGAGGGACAGACTGAGCGCGGCTGCCCCAAATCAGGCTGCCTGCTTTGGATTGAACAAGAAGAAGACGTCACTGAAACCACGGAGCTCAAATGTTTACAGAGAAGTTGCTAAACTTCATCATGATTAATGACCAACCACTATCAGTTGTAGAAAACGAAGGATTTCTCAACTTGATAATTGCAGCCAAGATATAGTTTACCCTCCAGGAGATATTTATCAGTACAACAGTAGACAATCATAAAAAACATGTGATTTGAAAATTATATTAAAAACAAAAACAGCTACATTATAAAGTGATGTAAAATACTAAAAACAGGAACATGTCTGTTGGTTTATGCCTTGAACTTAGCAGATGTTTGAAGCCAGTTAACTTTTTATTTTATTTAATTCATTTATTCATTCATTTAAAAGAAACAAAATTTTAAAAAAAAATCATCAAAAAGAAAACAATGAATGAAAAGAGTGCAGACAGAAGAAAAATTATTCTTATATCTGCCCCTTATGTAAAAAAATAAAATAAAATAACTAAACAATCACTTAAATTAATCACTTTAATATCCACTTTAAAGCTAGGAATAAAAAGAAACATGTTTTGTGTTAGCAGAATTTAATTCTAACTTTGAAACTTATCCAACATTAATAAAACTTACCCCAAGTTGCCTTTTTGGACATGCATCATATATTTGTACAAATTGTGTTTGAGAGGAGATTATTACAGCCTCATATAAAATCAATGATGATCATGATATCAGAACTGGATCGGTATCGGCCGATATTTAGATTTAGGTATCGGGATCGGAAGTAAAAAAAAGTGGATTGGTGCATCCCTACTAAAAACATGCATGTTAGACTGATTGGTAACTCTAAATTGTCCTTAGCTGTGAGTGAGAGAGTGAATGTTTGTCTCGTTTGTCTCTGTGTCCCTGTGATGGACTAGAGACATGTCCAGGCTGTCCCCTGTCTCTTGCACAGTGACTGCTGGATATGGGCACCATGACCCAGACAGGAAGAAGAGGGTAAAGAAAAAACGTATTTACATATTAATCACATGTAAAGCCACAGATGTTACCCTCGTTTGAAGATCTATTCCATTTAATGAGTGGAGCAGCATTAGAACCACGTCTGTTTTAACTTCCTGCTTTCGAGCTGAAACTCCTCACCTCCTTGACAATAAGAGGCTGCATTTAAAATTAATTTACAGGCAAAGCTGCTGCAGGAGGAGGGTGTTTTGCAGTGTGAGTTTCAGTGAAGAAGAGCCTAAAATTGTGCTGACATTTCCAGGGTTCTGCTGTTTATTTTCCAGCATCTAAATTAATTTGCAGATAAGAAAAAAAAAAAAAACTTAACAGGGAGTAGAGATGCTAAAATTATATGTTGTTGAGGCCATGAGGAAGCTAAACCCACTGCTTTTAATACAGTCCTAGTATTATAACCCAGAGCTTAGAAAGGACAACAATAACAATGTGTGGGTGTTGGGGGGGGGGGGGGGGGGCATCTTCTTCCAAACAGTTATTGGCAAAATCAAGTGAGTGTACTGGACAATTTTCAAACAATTAACATCTTACCTGTTGCAGATACTTGAGTTAACTCAGTTTAATTCTGACTGAACTGTTGAGCTAACGGCTAGTCCGAGTGGAGCTGAGACCAAAGCAGATAGCTGATATGTGCCATTTTTAATATAAAGATCTTACAGAGGTATGCAGATGTTTTAACATCCTTTACAGGACTTTAAATTTCAAATTACACAAGTATTTAAAGCAAACTCTACAGTTATTTGCAAGCAGCAGCAGCTGCTAGCCTTAGCACTTCTGGTAGGAGTATAATAATGTTTCTGTCAGAATAACTGTGAAATGTGAAACTGATAGTATAAAAGTCTGTAAAATGGTGCTTGCATTAACCTCTGAAGTAACTGACTGTCTTTCTTTTAAAATGGCAGGAATCCACTTTGATTATTTCTAGGGATGAACGATATCGGCATGGTATCGGCCGATATTAACGTTAAATTTCAATATCGGACATCGGCCATTCCATTAAAATAACTAGTCGATATAAAAGGCGCTGTTTTTGCCTGCATTGGCAGTGCAACGCGAAGACATCACGTGCACCTACCCGATCTCACGGCGGAGGAAAATTCAAAATGTCTGCGGTGTGGAAGTTTTATTTTACGTTTGTGAGGATGTCAGATTCCCAAGATTTATGGAATACGTTGAGCCTCGCTACATCGCCCCCTCTGAGATATTTTTCCGACGTAACGTTACCCGAATTACAAGCCGTCATTTCCGACATCATTGTGAAGCTAATAGCCAATAGCATGACTTGTTGGGTGAGTTTTACCACAGACATTTGGACGTCACGTGTTAGCCCCGTTAGCATGATTAGCCTTACTGCACAATGGACAGACAAAAACTTTGAACTTAAAAAGTCTGTCCTTCATGCACAAGAGAGCAGAGGATCCCACACTGCAGCTAGGAACCTGGAACAAGCCTCCACAAGTGAGACAGCATCACAGCTGACTAATGCTAATAAATAACATTTAACACTTTTCATTAATATAAGTTAAGTGCTATGCATATCATTTGGTTGTTACTGAATATATGACACCAGCTCTTACAGCTGTTGCACAATTTTTGTAGCAAATAAGCCTAAATAAGAGGGCTATGTTCTGACAAAGGAAAGTATATAAAATATCGGCATATCGGATATCGGCAAAAAATCCAATATCCTGCAGCCCTAGTTATTTCTCACCTGACTGTTGAGGTAATGGCTAGTCTGAGTAGGATCATGAACATTCTTTCTCCAAACAGGTCATTCAAAGAGCCATCTACAACAGGTAGGATATTCATTAATTATAACAAAACACCACAAATCTGATTTGTTGTTGTCTGAATTCCAGTAATGAAAAATTCTGATAAATAAATACAGAACAGCAGGACAACATATTCATGCATAATCCTGGGGCCACTTATTATTTTATTTATTTTTACAGTTTAAGGTGATTTTAATTTACACAAACTGTTTAGCTTAAACTTTTTTTTAATCCTGATTTTAAAGTGTCTGCAGTATTTTCCTGCTCATCCCTCAGATTCATTTAAAAGCTCTGTAGATGTTTCCTGATTCCCGGGTGAGGATCAAACATTACAGATAAAAATGTACTTCCAGTAAACGTTCAACTTCTATTTTCGAGCAAAACTCTTAGACCGTTTTTATTAATTATTTACAACAATCAAGTGAGAGTGCTCTGCTTCTTCTGAAGACAACCTCCTGATAACACCTGATGCTGACATTTACCTGAGCCTCTGCCTCCTCACTCAAGGCCTTGACCAGGGAGTCCAGTTTCTCATTCAGCAGAGCACACTGGGAGAGGAGACAGAGAAAGAGATACTTTCATTGTTTGTATCGACTCCTCTGGCCAACTGAGAATCACGTGAACAGAGTGTAAATTTTATGACAAGAGCCACACAGAACATCTAAAATCCAAAATCAAACCTTGATAAACTTTTACTACGAATTAAAAAAAACTTGAGTCAGATGAAAAAAACAAAAAAAAAACAAATTGAATTTGTCACTTTCAGACTGTCATGAGAAAAACAACAAAATAAATCCAGTATGGGTCGTATTTGCCTGCCGTGTGAACGTAGCTTAATTTGGACCAAACTGATGAGCCAATGGCTAGTCTGAGCAGGGCTGTGACTAAAGTGGATTGCTGTCGTCTTAAAACAATTCCAATATCAATCAGTTTTGAGCTGTTCATGCAAATCTGATTGTTTTATACACATTTACACCACCATTCATTTTACATTACACTTATTTCTGCAGGAAGTGCTACAGCTAGCTGCTCCTGCCATTTGTACATACCATATTTTCCGGACTATAAGTCTTTGTTTTTTTCATAGTTTGGTATGTCCTGCAACGTATAGTCCGAAGCGACTTATTTATGTTTTTTTTCTTCTCCCTATTCAGAATCAGAATAAGCTTTATAATCATAGCACTGAGATACAACGAGAACACGTACGTACAGTCGTCCGAAAGATGGACGTAGTGCACAAAGCTGCTGCTAATTAGCGCGGCCCTCTTATTCTTACTCAGAATAATATTTTTGCTTAGATGAGAAAAGGTAAGACACAATTTTTGACTGACATGTTAAATGTTCATTCGTGTTGACATGAACCAAACCGAACATGAAGTGCTCCGGCTGTGGAGGAACGCTGCAGAGCCCGCGGATCCTGACGCGAGCTCCACAGCGCTCCCTTGCCTGCACCTTGCCGCCTTCCGGGGCTGCGGACCATGTGCCTCGCTGCGCCCTTCCTCCCCGTTCCGGCGGTGGATGGATGGGGCATGGCTGCCGACTGGGACAGACTGTTCTCAGTGCACCGCGCCGCCCAGGCAAAATGATGCTGTTTTGACCATTAAAGTGTATTTATTATTTATTAAGGAAAAGTTCAACTGAGACACAACTTTACTATAATGTCGAGCAAACAAATAATTGCTTTTAAGTGTTATTCTTCTTAAATTTTGAAGAGCTGCAACAGCGAGTTCTCTCGTGCGCACCCCTACGGCCGCCAATCTATTTTTGGCACAACACCGGCCCACGTTTCCCTGGGGTCAGTGGTGACCAACAATAAAAGCGATTTCTACTCCGAAGCTACTCGTATATGTTTTTTCCTCTTCATGAGGCATTTTTTGACTGATGCAACCTTTACTCCAGAGCAACGTATAGTGCGGAAGATACGGTAACTGTAGAATTCTACGTAAATAGCTACGTTATACTCAACTAGATGTGGGCAACATTTTTTTTTCCCCGAAAGGGCCACATCAAGACATTTAAAGCAAACAAATGGCCACATGGAAAATTGGAAAATACATTTTCTTTATGACAGATCATCTAGAAGAACGTTTTAAGGCTTTTTGTTGTAGCAAAGTTAGCATGCTTTACAAAAACTTGTCTTTCCAATAACCTTTCGGAATATAAGACATATTGTAAACTGGCTCCTGTGACATTAAATTAAACACATTAGCTTAACAAGTTATACATGTTAGCAGAAATATGCAAAACAAACACCATATTTTTCGGACTATAAGGCGCACCGGATTAAATATATAATAATAATATATAATAAGGCGCAATAAGCAAAACAAGTTCATATTGATAGATTTTTGAGCGCAGTGTACCACATAAAATCAATTCGAGGTCAGTAAGCTCAACCAGAATGAATACATAAGGCGCACCGGATTAAAAGGCTCACTGTCAATTTTTGAAAAAAAATATATATATATTTTAAGTGCACCTTATAATCTGATAAATACAGTATATATTTGTTTCTAAGCATTTATGGTTCCATCTAGTTCTGGAAAGACAATGACTTAAAAATGTTTAAAAAAAAACAACAAAATTCATGCTCAGTCGTCCAGGTAACAAATCCAATAATGCTCAGTCAGGTCATCTGGGCAGTTTCTTTTTTTTTGTAGAGACGTTTCGCCCTCTATCCGGAGGGCTTCATCAGTCTGAGGAGTTCCAGTAAACTATTTCTTCACCGAGCAGTAAACTCCTTAAGTGGACCAACCAGTTAGCTGGAGCTGGTTTCTGGGGGCTGTCCTGTCCCCCATCAACTCCTCCCAGGCAGGCAGCCTCAGTCAAAGTGGTTCAAGGCAACAAAGTTCATGCTCAATCATCCAGGTACCAAATCCAATAATGCTCAGTCGGGTCATCTGGGTGGGGAAACAGTTTACTTGGAACTGCTCAGACTGATGAAGCCCTCTGGATAGAGGGCGAAACGTCTCTACAAAAAAAAGAAACTGTTCAGATGACCTGACTGAGCATTATTGGATGTTTTTTTTTAAGTTTTGAGTAAGATTTTTAATTTAAATTTGCTTAAGTTTTGTTTATAAAGTGTTTTTTAAATCAATCTTTTCTTAAGTTGTTTTCTTTTGAACTAAGTTTATTGGGGGCCTGAAGGAGATTGTCCAAGGGCCACTTTTGGCCCTCGGGCCTTAAGCTGCCCACGTCTGTGCTAAACTGACAGCAACATAAAGGTTTATAAAGGTTTAATAATAATAATAATAATAATAATAATAATAATAATAATAATAATAAATTTTATAAAGGTATAAAGGTTTAGAAAATATGTTGGCATAAGATGCTCAGCTCGTGAGTCGGGTCCTAATTTAACTATTTTTCCTCCAAAAGAAGATTGTTTAAAGATCTATCTACAACATAGGATATTTATTGTTCATTATGTATCAATATTTATCTATTCATTGATCAAACTCAGCCTTACATTTAAAACTAGAAAAAAACCCTGAAGTTAATGATCAAGAGATACCTTAGACGAGTTCAAATTACCGAAGGAGAAAAAACCTGAAGTTTGTTCTGAAGTGCGTCAGTCCCTCGTTGCTCCTCGTGTTCAACGTGTTATATGTTCGATTCAAATCATCTCAAAAAGCTACAGCAGAGAGGGGGGTGGTGAAACTCTGCTTTGTGCTAAACCGTGCACGCACACTATTTTTAACACACACCTCCACCTGCCCACTGGTTACGCAACACACACGCTGACCTGTTTTACCTTCTTGGCCATGGCGTCGGCCTCCTCCTTGTTCTCCGTGGCTCTCTCGTATGCCTTCCCCACCTCCGCCACAAAGTCGTTCACGGTCCCACACAGAAACCTGCCAACAGGATGAGAGTTCACGAGATTAACGCCACGATTTCATCGGATGATTTGGGCTTTTTATGTTTAACAGCTGGGTGATTCACACACACATGCAGGTGCTTCAGTGCTACCTGCCTGTCAGTGCCCCCGCCCCCCACTCAGTTGGTGTTTCCTTCCAGCTGCTACATTACAGCTGAGTGAGTCAGCGGCGAGGCTGCTCCAGACTCACACTGTTCTCTGTATTACATCATCTTAGATGATTAGAGCTGCAGGAACTCTCACTTTTTTATGTTTAAAAGCAGCATCCTGCTGAGCAGCTCACTCCAGAAAAATAAAGGTTTTACCCCCATTTAGATTTATCTGTACTTCAACAACTTTTTTTAAAGTAATAGGTGGTCGCAGACAAACGAAAGCTGGAGCTGGGCTTTACTCCTCTAATTTTCCTGTCAGTGTGAACACGTTTAGTCAGCAAAAAGTCTTTGTTTAAATAAAACCATTCAGAGTCTGACAGCAGCTGTCCTGCTGCTGAGATATCCTCAGAAAATCAAACAAGAAAGTGATTTCCAGGAGCCAAACTCAAACCATGTTCACACTGGCGGAGGTTCGTGAGATACACACTTATCTCTAAACAATCAGCGTTGTTAAACATTTATAATGATGTCCTGATGCATGCTCAATAATCCAGGTAGACAAATCTAACAAGGTT